ATCAGCGCGGTCTTAATAGACCCGAACATCTTTGGTATCTCTGCTCTAATGACCGCAGCCACCGCCTCATGAATGATCCGCCGGATCTCCTCATCACTAGCCCCGACACCCTCTGGCATATGACGTGTCCTTACCATGATCAACCTCTGAAATACAACATACGATAAATTAGAATCCGCTCGAGCATACTCACACTCGACAACCCATCCCTCCTTGATTCTTGGTATTCCAAAGATTCTCATTTGGACCGTGCACCGCCCCAGTGCTTTCAGTAGTACGGGCCCAATACTACTGTCCACACCGTCTCAGTACACACCCCAAATCCTCCTCTTCGGATCCTAAATTCCAAGTACTCTATCACTCTCTAACAAATCTCTCATAAGCTCCTCGCTGCTACCTATTCGCTCTCAAGCATCTCATAGCAGCTCATATCTCCCTAGGCTAAGGCATCACAAATCAGGGCACTCTAGTCCTAATAAGAATACCTAGCCTATTCTAACAAGAGAATACACCATAAACATATAATATAAGGGTATTTTGGGAAATCACCGTTCGGGCGCTGACTGATCGTACATACGTTTCTTCCTTGAATTTCTCTAAAAATATTTTACTCTTAGAAAAGTTAAATTTTCTTTTGAAAATATTTTTCCAAATCCTCAGTTTGAGTTCAAATACTCTTCGAAGGTGTACCCGAATCCCTCAAACCAAGGCTCTGATACCAAATTGTAACACCGTAAATTTCAAAACAAAATTTTTAAATTTTCATAAAACATAATTCATTAAAATATTCATAAAACAACCATATTAATTATCCAATACAAAATCCCAAGATCACAAATGTATAAACTCCGTGTGTGTGTATGGATCAAGTCGGCGCCTTCCCGCGGTGGTCACTAGTATCTGAAACAATAACATCAAACACTGTAAGCACAAAGCTTAGTGAGTTCCCCAAAATACCATATATAACACATATTAGCCACTCGAGGCTATAACTCTGTGGGTCCGTGCACCCAAACTCTATGAACCCTCAGGTTCTAACTCTGTAAACATGCACAACATAAATCACATAGAAATAAGGCAGTACAACACATAACATACATAGCATACAAACACTCTATCACATAACTCTAGTTACCTACTCAAGGTAAAGTATAGTGAGAAGACTCACCTCGTGTCTCGGTAAGTCGTGAATCCTGAAATCACTAGTGCTCGATCCCCCCGAGCTAAAGTCCTCCTATATCACAATACATCTCTAATTAACACTTTCCCAACTAAGGTTGACTACTCTTTAACAAGTCAACTTAGGTCAACGGTCAACGGTCAACTTTGACCGGACTCGGCGAGTGCACAATAGCGACTCGGCGAGTCTGAGCGTATACACTGATTTCCCTGAAATCCTCCCTTGACACGTCGAGTATCCTCTTAACTCGACGAGTTCCACCTGGCATGAGTTGTGGGGCCACCACGACTCAACTCGCCGAGTCTCAAGAACAACTCGGCGAGTCCAGCTTGACTCAGTCCACCTGTCCACTCAAACTTCCCCCTGACTCACTGAGTCAACCCTCCCCAACTCGGCAAGGCCACTCGCTATGTGGTCGGGCAACATTCATACTACTCGCCGAGTCTGTTCTTCGGACTCGGCAAGTCCGTGCCATGCAATGACTCAAACTTGCTCATAAGGTCAGATCCAGTCCATTAACCCATAGATCCAGTCCTTCCAAGCATATTTAGCATGTAAAGTCACTATCTTGATGCACATATAATCTCTACATGATCATAAATGATGTTTTTGTCTCAAATACTACAACCCAAGGTCATAAACTCCATTGCTATACATAAAGCTTGAAGAATGAGGCTCTCTGGACCTCTATGGATCCAGATCCAAAGCCTCAACACAAGAAGGGAACTATTTGGCATCAAATCATCCCATAAATGTCCATAAGAAACCCTAGATCCCATTATTCATCACAAAACAGAAAGTAATCCGAAATCATACCTCCAGATTGATGATCTAAGCTTCAAATCCACAGAATAGCAACCTCCTTTGCTTCCTCTTGCTTAGAATCTTCTCCTTCTTTGCTAAATGACACACACAAGGGTCAATAATGCTTCCTTTCTCTCTCAAAATGTTCAAGCACACAAGGGTTTCTCTCTAAGGGTTGGGTGAGCACAAATGACGTCCATAAGGCCCTTTAAATAGGCCGCAAACCCCGGAAATTAGGGTTTCACCATACAGCGTGGACTCGCCGAGTCCACTCTTGGACTCGTCGAGTCCGGACGCGAACCCATGCCCAAATCCGCGATCCTACTCGGCGAGTCTGGGCTCCAACTCGCCGAGTCCACTCACAATTTCCATAAATAAATCCAAAATAAATACCTGAAAATTCCGGCCCGTTACAAGTGTCGAGGATGTGTTCAGATAGAAACAAGAATACAAGGTTCTAATTAGTAATTATGAAATTCAAACAAGGAGGTGAGAGTTTGATTAGATAACCTTTCATTTTTATATTCTAATCACTACATTATAAACTTTATATAAATTCACCATACTTATATGCAATGTTTTACCTATATAGCACACCTAACATGTTAATACCGTGCCAAACTTTAATGAACTTTAACATTAATTTTTCACTGTAAATACATTGTAATAACAATAACAATAACAATCAAATACTCTTTTCTTATACCGTAAAAAGAATGTAAATCGAATGCAATCTTGCCTCACCCAAAAGTGTAGGGTTAGGGAGATACAATCACATACTATAGATAATCACATACAATGAAGTTGAATGACACTCAACACTCAAGAGTAAGAACATGAACATTAAACATGTTCAAACCACCATAAATTTTCTTGACTTAAGTTTATGGTAAAAATTCATTGTAATTGTATACAGATAATACTTTATATGTAAAAATCCAGGATGAATTTTGTAAAATATTATATTAAGAATATTATTTTTATTATTATATAGGATAAAGAGTGGAAATGAAGATTGTAAGGTTAATAATGATGAAAAGGAGTCGGATAAACAGAGTCGAGTCATATCCAGTAAAGTAACCAACAGTAAAGAAAGATTTGCCCCAATTTCTTGCTGAATTTGACCGACCTTTTTGTACTCTGCCTGCCTCCTTATTATTGGCACCAACACAAACCCTTTCCTTTCCTTTCTTTTTATATTGTTTCCTCTTCCCCTCCCCTCTTCCTCTTCCCCCGCCTCCCCCTTTTTCTACTCATTTTCCACCCTTTCTTTCGTTGGATTCTTGTTTATCCCATGTCGGGTTTGTATAATCCCAACTTCTCTCCAGCAAGAGCTGTCTCTCCACTGATTAGAAGTAACGCAGATGTCGACAGGTTCGTCAATTTTGATGTTCTTCTCGTTTTCATGATTCTCAACTTCATCTTCTTTTTAGGGTTCTTCATGGTTGTTTGTTTTTGATCTATCCAACGCTGTCTTCTGATTGGTTTTTTGTTTTTCTTGTTATTTTTTGCTATTGTCGCAGTCAATACTTGACTGAATTATTGGAGGAGCATCAGAAGCTCCAGCCTTTTATGCAAGTTCTTCCCATATGCAGCAGGCTCTTAAATCAAGGTTCAATTTCCTAGATCTTAATTCCTGGATTTTGTAGTTCTTGAGTTCATACTTTGTGCAAAGAGAATTGTCCGATTGTGTGATGTAGATCCCTCCTTGTATCCTTTCGGACCAATAATGGAGGTTTTCCCTTCATTGAGTACTTCGGAAACTTTACTCATCTACTCAATTTATAAACTATTCTTAATCTTATTACATCTTTACCATTGTAAGTTGTCCAATTTTTATACTTTCTTCATAGACGGAGGAGACATATTAATGACTTATGGCATGAATTCTCTTTATCAACTGAAATCTGTGTTTCCTCATGGTGTTAGATTTAGTGTTGGTGATGCCATTACAATCTACACCTGGTGCTTATCAATTCCCATTTTACAGTTGACACCCATACTTTACTCAATAATCTTGTTAGATGAGCACACTATAAAAGCTTACACCCTTGTCCCACATTTAGGCTGCGTTTGTTAAAAGGGACAAGACTGGACTTGACAAAACTAGACAAACTTTTTACAACTATTTTTTGATGGTGAACGAGGGCAATCATGTCTTTTGCACGAGATACGAAACAAGTCATTGTCTCACCTTTTTGGGTTGAACACAAAATTGCAACTTTTGTCCAATTGACTTCAGTTTCAGTCCAGTAACAAAAAGTTTTAGGTTGTACTTGACTACATGTATCTGACTATGATTGAGACTGATGTCAATGAGATGTGTAAAAGATGTGAATGCCCTCTTCATCTTCATCATTGAAGTTCATGTATGAATTAGATGAAACTTAAATCATTTCATCCTTCCACATTTTGACTAATTGCTTCAAATCCAATTATTTTTTTTCAGAGATTGTAAGGGTTTCAAGTATGCTACCAAATCAAGGGTTTAATGAGCTTGATAGACTCCGCCATAGAAGTCCAAGTCCCATGGCATCTTCAAATCTTATGTCAAATGTTCCTGGGAGTAGGATTAGTGGCTGGAATGGTCTTCCACCAGAGGTACTTGTGTATTTCAATTTACTATTTTTTTTTATATGATGTTATATTAATCGATAATACTTTGTTTTAAGAGATAAATACAATGTGTATGATCATATAAGCCTTAAAAAACACTATCTTCTGTTTCTTTATTTCTCGCATGTTCTAACATTGATTTTTTATGGACCTGATTATTCATTATGTTCCAAAAAGCTTTCACTCCATACTTTTTTTCTAAACATAATTGTAACACTTTTCTTTTTCGGCTTGTCCTAATTTGTTTGCAACCTTTTTTTTTCTCTTTAAGAAAGTATTAGGACAAGTATGTAGAATAAGAAGATACTTTTGTTTTATTTTTTTTCAAGCAACCTACTTTTTTTGTTACAAAAGATAGTAATCTACTTTCCAAAATTGTTCATTCCAGAGCAATATTTTACCCAAGACTCAAGACTTAACTTTCTTTTTCTCGATTTTAGGGTTTGATTAGGAATCATATTTCGTTTTCATTTGTATAAAATTAGGGTTTCATTTGATTTGTGGTTTATAGTTTTAGATTTTGGTAGTGGTGGTGATAAGTCATGTAGAAGCAGAAATAAAAAAATGGGTTCAAGAAACATATAAAAGTTAATTAAGAATTCATACATAATTTGTATTTAAGTTTACTTTAATGAATCAATTTGGAAATAATATGAAATGTCGTTGCATAAATAAGCATTTATTATAAAGGAAAGTAGATTGTTATTTTTTCATAAAGGAAAGTAGGTTGCTATTTTTGGATCATGAATTGACCAATAGTTGACTGATGACAGAGGTTAAGTGGGCCACCTGGAACAACAATGGACTGGCAAGGAGCTCCAGCAAGTCCAAGTGCATACACTGTCAAGAGAATTTTGCGGTTAGAGATACCAGTTGATACCTATCCAAATGTATACTTTTTTTTTATTATAATGGAAATTTTATATTTATAAATTATAATAATTTAATTTAATCTTGAAACATATATATATTTTTGGACTCTAGTTTAACTTTGTTGGAAGGCTTCTCGGACCCAGAGGCAATTCGCTAAAACGGGTAGAAGGTACAACGGGTTGTCGCGTTTATATAAGAGGAAAAGGTTCAATCAAGGACCCCGAACAGGTATTTTAATTTTTAATTACTTTTAATTTTTTTTTTTTTTTTTTTGGATCATCATTTTTTATTATTATTATTATTATTATTATAGGAAGAGAAACTAAGAGGAAGACCAGGGTATGAACATCTAAACGAGCCACTCCACATTTTGATTGAAGCTGATTTACCAGCAAGTGTTGTTGATATCCGGCTCAGACAAGCTCAAGAAATAATCGAAGAATTACTCAAACCTGTGGTATCTTATCTTATCTTCTCTTAGTCTTTCTTATTCTTATTCGCGTCAAAATACTACTTTAAGGGTCTCCACTGAATATCTGATAATAAATATACAGGATGAATCCCAAGATTATATAAAAAGACAACAATTACGGGAGCTAGCAATGCTCAACTCCAATTTCCGAGAAGATAGTCCGGGACCCAGTGGGAGCGTGTCCCCCTTCAACACCAGCAGTGGCATGAAACGTGCAAAAACCGGTCGCTAAAACACATGACTTTAATGAAACGGTGCAAAAACAGTTGAAATTGAAGCAGATGAAACCCGTGAGGCGGTTGGTTTTTTTGGAATCATCATCATCATCATCATCATATATAATTTGTACACACACACACTACTTGGCCTCCAAGAGTCATGTTTGCTATGCTATGCATCTTCCTATATGTTTCATGGCTTTTGGAAACACAAATCCAAAGTATAGGCTGTCGGGCGATTTTTTTTTTTTTTTTTGAAAACTTTTTTTTTTTTTTTAATTTTTTAAAATTGAATGATGGATATAGCGACGAAGTACAAAGTGGAAAAGGTTAAAAAGTTGGGTTTTTTTTTTATTTTATTTTTATTTTTGTTTTTAATTTCTTGGTTCTTAAGTTTATAATTATTCTTGTTTTGGTGATTATAAGGTGATGCGTGTTGTAAACTTTGATTCATTTGATTTATTCTTGTGTTGGTAAAACCTCGACATTATGCGATAATGTTATCGTATATATATATTATTATTATTCATATAAATAGATTGGTGGACGCCAATGTTGTTATTATTATTAATATTATTATATTCTAATTACTTTATTGAACTCAACCTGTGGATGAATGGATACCGGTGTCATCTGTTATGACAACATAACATGCTTTGATGTGTACCAGGTGTTAAATATGTTCTTTCCAATGTGATGTTTTCCTAAATTCATTATTTTTGTAGGGCATAAATTTTTTAAATTTTATAGGGGAAGTGCCTTCATACGACAAGACCAAAGGTACAATGTGATATATTATTATGATGTGTTGTTCCAAATACGTGATTTATAATGGAATTTGGGTTCATAAGAATATCACCCGAAGTAAAAGGGTCTAAGGGAAATTTGGGGAAGTTATTCCTTAATATTAAGTAGTCATAAATCTACATATTTATCGACCATGAGAAGATGAAAACCATTCACAAGAGAATGATGGCAGGCTGCCATCCCAAAATTGCCAAAAGAGTTGTGTGAACTTGTAGAATAGACAAGAGGAACTTGATGTTGGTGAACAATTGTTACTTAAATTTTCTACATGACATGGGCTTTAATCGTTCAGAAAATAAGGTAAACTAAACCATGTTATGTGAAACCCTTCATTATTTTAAGAAGGATATTAAAAAAGCATAGACTTGATCTTACTCCTAAGCTTGAAGGTATCTACAAGACCTTTAATGTTGTTTACGTGACAAAATAAGTGGCTTATTGAACAAGTTGATATAGGGCCACTCAAGGAAATGTGTGGACAAGAAGAACAAGATTGATTGAGGATCTTGAAGAAATCATTAAAGGAAAAAAAAACACTTAAGTTTACATCAAAATTTTAATTTAACATTTTTTTTTTGTTAGTTTGATTATATATTTTCTAATTTGTTATAATTTTGACTACTTGACTGATCAAACAGATTACTTACTGATGTGACATGATGATGTTGCATACTTACATGATATACTAACATGTCTAAATTAAGTTTTTTTCTTCACAAATAACTTTACTTTACCTTTTTTTTATTTTTTTTTGACATTCAATTTTTTTGTTCCAAATCGAATATTATTTTTTTTCAATTTTGTTTAATTTAGCTGTTTTCCATTTGAAACCCTGTGTGTGTGTGTGTGTATATATATATATATATATATATATATATATATATATATATATATATATGCCTTAGGTTATTGTTTAACTAATTATTGTATGGATGTACTAATGATTGTGAACCAATCATTTTTGTTATATTAAGAGAATGATTAATATGTATTATTGAATTAAAAGTAATTGAAAAATATCATCTAATTTCATTACAAATGTATTTTAGTCAATTAATATAAATTTAAAAAAGAAAAATTTCGGATTTTAGGAAAGAATCAATTCTCTTAACTTTAAAAATATGATTTTTTTTTTCTAAATTAATTTAATTTCAAAATTTTAAGCATAATCGATTTTATTATGACATAATGTTATTTTGTTATAAAGATATTTTATGAAAATGTTCTGTTACAATGTTATTGAAGAATAACAAAATCTTCAACCACCAGTTGAATAATAACAACATTCTTATATATTTATAGACATCCGAACTTAAATACAAATTCATACATATTTTTACAGAATATTCTAACATAATGTCATAAAAAATGAATAAAATTCTTAAAATAACATTCTTAAATATACAATACTTGAACAAATACACTTGATCTCTTTGAATGGTCAAAATACTCGACTTGATTCAAACTATTTGTAACATCTTAAAATTCAAGACAAAAAATTTCATTTTTGATTAAGTTATTATAAAACCAACAATATAAGAAAACATCCATAATAACATCCCATGTCAAAACCCAAAGTGTCAATAATCAAAACATGTTATCATAATACAATATTTGAGTGTAATCCCAAAGATCTCATGTGCAGAAAACATAGTGTGATGCCATGCGATCGCCAACTCCTTTCCTTTGAAAACGAAGTACCTGAAACCAAAACTGGAAACCATAAGCATGAAGATTAGCGAGTTCCCCAAATACCGCATACCATAAATATCAACATACTGCATAACATATATGGGTGCTAGCCTACCCCTTCGGTCTCTTTCAATCGGATACTGTCTAGCATATAAGCACATAAATCACATACTGTCATACATAACCATGAGCCATACATATATCATAATCAATAAAGATGCTATGTGCCAAACATAGTCTTTCCATTATGCCACAGGCCGCCATGTGGTCTTTCTTGCTAAACTTGAGGCCACCCCCTCGGTCTTATAGACAAGTGCTAAGGGACACCTCATGGTCTTCCATGCAAGCATCACAAAGACAACTAGCATACATATTACTCTACTTAGCCAATTAGAATATAGTATCCCAGGAGCTACCTCCTGGTTTTTCATACATAATGCCTAGGGCTAACCCCCGGGTCTTCCTACAATACATAATAGAATACAGTGTGCCAGGAGCCACCTCCTGGTCTTTCATACATATTGCCTAGGGCTAACCCCCGGGTCTTCCTACCATATATAAACCAAATGGGCCGGCATTGGTGCCATCGACCCATACAAACAGTGAGGAGACTTACCTCGCACTGCTGAAGTCCCACAGACAAAACTCTAGTTGCTGGATGATAGATTCTCGAATTGTCAACATCAGAATAACACTTAATTAATAATTAGGTTCCAACACGTAACCATAAGTCCATGCATGGGGTAAAATAATACTTTACCCCTAATTTAGCTTTATTCAAGCCTAAGGCCCAATCCAAAGGCCCAAAAGTCAAATGCCCAACATATGGCCCAATTTTCCAAATTGGGCCCAAACCCTTACATGGTCTTACCCTAAGGCCCAACTATTTATTCTAGCCTAAACATTTGGTATCCCAATGGTCTAACATTTCATAATCATCAAAGCCCACTTATGGCCTAATTTTCCAAATTAGGCCCAAACCCCTCACGTAGGCCTTACCCTAAAGCCCATTCAAATATCCTAGTCCATATGATTGTTCTTGGATGACCCATTGATAGCCTAATCACCAAAGCCCAATAGTGTTAAACCCCCAAACCGGAACAGCTGAAAGGTTCGAGGGCGGAGGACGTCATGCATAATATCACAACAATTTGTTGGAATAGTGTCTAAGGTTGCAACTATATTAGGTAAGTATTTGACCCGGTTGTGCATGGTCCTTTTGGGTTGCCTTCACCATAGTAACTTGATAGGATGATTTATAATGAGAGAAGAAATATTATTAATATATTATGAGAATAATATAAGGAATAATAATATTGTTAATATAAGTCATAAATTAATTAGGAATTAATTTGGTGACTTAAAGAGATTAATTGAATAAAGGGGTATAAACTATCAATTGTATGATAGTTGTACTTTGGGCTATTATCCCTTATGGATAAGGGGTGGATGGTTTTGGGACTTAGGATAGGCCTAGAATTCGTCCAAGGCTTATCATTAGGGTATTGGATAGCTTAGGGCCTAAGTTATCAAATTAGGGTTTAAGGGTGAAACCCTAGGAGCCTCATTAGTATAAATAGACCCTAGGGGTCATGGAAAATTGGCACCCCTGTCTCTAAAGAAACCCTGGCCAATTTCTTCCTCCTCTCTCCTCTCTCTATAATCATCCTCTTGCTAGTTGGTGTTTGTAAGCCATTAGAGGAGTGACACTTGTGACTCTAAAGCTCCAAGGACAAGAAGATTCAAGCAAATGACTCAAGGTAATCTTCTAAATCTGATTTCTTATTGTTATTATGCTAGAATTACCATTAGAAGTCTTGGATACAATATATGTTCAATTAGAGAAACCTAGATCCAAGCATTAGGGTTTGCATTTGCACATAGGAATGTTCTTATGGGTCAAACCCATTAGTGGTATCAGAGCCTTGATTGGTTTCTATTGAATTGATGCATTGGTTGCTTGTTTGTTAATTGCTAAATTCGATTTTTGTCCATCTGCTTGATGAACTCGGCGAGTTCCATAGTGGACTCGGCAAGTAGGCCTCAACTCGGCGAGTCCATTGTGGTACTCGGCGAGTTCGAGCGTCAGGAAGAGCTAATTTCGGGATTTATTGTTGTTTATCTTATGGAAACTTGCCTTTATCTTAATGGGTCAATATATATATATATATATATATATATATATATATATATATATATATATATATATATATATGAGTATATCCTTGACCTAATTAAAGATAATTACCAATTAAAAGAATAATAATTTCCTTATATGATAATTGATTAATTATTTTAATTAAATTGGTAAATTGTTTTGCAAGAAACATCAAATATGGATAATTATGAAATTAGATGGTCAATTTAAATTATTTGTTATTTGATCCCTTGTGTTTTAGAAAGTTTAAAAACTAATCCTCGAGTTTTGAAATTTAGTTTTGTGATTAAAAGTTTAATTTGGACAATTTAAATTTCAAACCCTAGAATTTTACAAGTTTAAAATTCAACCCTATACTTTATATGATTACAAGCTTAATATATATATATATATATATATATATATATATATATATATATATATATGTATGTATGTATGTATAATTAAAATGCTAGTCTTACCGTTAGTAGGCCTCATTCACGAAGCCGGTCTATAAGGTGGGTATAAGGTTGCTGCCTATAAAATGACGCTTAATGGGTGTACACTCACACCCACCGCTTGCTTGATCGGTGGAGGGTCGTTAGCTGAACGGGTAGGATAGGGCAACTCTCTTTCCTCGTTAAAAGTATAATAT